TCCTCATTTATTGGTGAGATCAACAATGTCTAAGCAGATGATAAACGTTTTATTTAAAGTTTATGCTCTAGAGTGGCTAAACCAGGTGACCTGAGACTTGGTTCTTAAATTTTTTATCAGTTGAGGAGTGTTTGGGGGAGTTGGAGGTAAATACAATCAAGATCTATTGTATATATATATATATGTACGAAACTGTCGGAGTGCCAACTGGTGGTGGCACACTCCTTTAATCCTAGTACTTGAAAGGCAGACACAGCTCTGAGTTGAAAGGCAGCCAGGTCTATAGATTAAGTTCCAGGACAGCCAGGACAACATAGAGAAACCCTGTCTCAAATAAAAAAAAACAAAATTAAATTAAAAAATAAACAAAAAAATTGCAAGAGTAAAGAAATTATTTAAAAAAAATTCAAATTTATGCTGAAGTTCACATCAATCTTAACTGTTAAAGAAACCTATCAGCAACCCTTACTGAGAGAATTTCTAAGGAATCCCTTACTATTTTCTGCTATGTGAAATGTTCACAAGCTATGGAACAAGTGAAAAATTAATGATAGTCTATAGATTTGTTTGCACTGATCCCTTGAGTCCAATCCTGACTCTAACTCCTATGTGGGTCATCCTGTACAGTGGAGATAACTGAAGCCAACAAACTTGCTGGGAGAATTAAATATCTGATTGCAACTCTAACTTACACTATACTGTCACTGAAACGCCCTCAACTTAGGGTGATTTCATTTATCAGACACAACATAAACTGGTAAAAAGAAATTCCAAAATTGCTTCTAATAATTAACTGTAATTCCTTTATGTTCCAAGTACAGTAAAAGAAACAATAAGCAGGACTGAAACCAAGCTCTAGTCTGGGGTTGCTGTCCTCACAGGAATCAAGTGTCTGTGAGGCACTCTGAAAGTTTTCATAGAGCACCATTAGGAATGCTACAATTCAAACCAGAATCACGTCCCATTTTAGCAGTGTTCTTGAACTAGAAGACTTGGCACAAGGGCAGATAAAACTCCAGGCAGTGGCAGATCTTACAATCCATTCATTTTCTTCAAGTCTAAGTTTGCCTGACCTATTAGTAGCTTTTTCTGAGTTTGTATTTGTGATATGTGAATAGTCTTATGTAGTCTTATGCAGAACAGGCTGGTCTTGAACTTGAAACTGAAGTGCTGAGATTACAGGCACTCACTACAACACCTGGCTTAACTGCCTTTTCATCATTACTACTCAAGATAGATCAGATATGGGAGAGATCCTAAAATGATCAGATGACAGTTCCACAATTACCTTTTCATCCCTGAAGAAAATTCCGATTTAGGTCTATAATAGGTAGACTTTAGCCTAGTACAGACAAGTAATAATAGGCAAAGACCTTATGCCAAAATAATACATACTGCAATTACTTTCCACAAATACGTAACACTTACATGTTTAATATACTAATAATTGTGTTCACAAAACCCTGTAAAAAAATAGTTACATAAGGAAATCTTTATGGATCCTAAATCAGCATCCAAAGCAGAACTCCCCAAATCATAAGACTGTACTTGCCAGTTTGGAATATACATTGAGACTTTGGCTTAAAAAGTTTCACATCTGGGGGACTGGAGAGATGTCTCAGTGGTTAAGAGCACCACCTGCTCTTCCAAAGGTCCTAAATTCAAATCCCAGCATCCACATGGTGGCTCAAACCATCTGTAACGAGATCTGGCGCCCTCTTCTGGCCTGCAGGCAGAGTACTGAGAATACTGTATACATAATAAATAAATCTTTAAAAAAAAAAAGTTTCACATCTGGATGGGTAGCGGTGACTCACGCCTTTAATCCCAGCACTCAGGAGGCAGAGGCAGGCGGATCTCTGTGAGTTTGAGGTCAGTCTGGTCTACAAAGTGAGTATCCAATACAGTCAGGACTAGAAACAGAGAAACCCTGTCTTGAGAAATTGTCTTAAAAACAAAACAAAACAAAAAAAAGTCCCATATCTGTCCAGGTGGTGGTGGTATACAGCTTTAATCCTAGCAATCTGAAGGCAGAGGCAGGAACTCTGTGAGTTCCAGAACAGCCAAGACTGTTAGAACAGAGAAACCCTGTCTTGAAAAAAAACAAAAAAATAAAAGTTCGTATCCAACTTCCAAATTAGCAGCTGACTGCATTTCAAATGTTTTGAGATTGGTTTGGATTTGCAAAGAAAATGGTTGCTGACAGTACACTTATAAGAAACTATTAAAACCATTTAAGCTTTTTTTTTTTTTTTTAAAGTTTAGCTTTGGTGATACTGGGGTCTGGGGCCTTGTGCTTGGCGCTCTGAAAAGAATTCAGCCTTCTTTATACCCCTTTGGGGGTGTGGGGGGGGGGATAGTGTCTCACTATGTTGTCTGCCTGGCCTCATACTCAAAGATCCACCTGTCTCTGTGCACTCCTGAGTTCTGGGATTAAAGGTGTGGTCTGGCTATAATCAGAATTTTTAATGTTTAAGTTTCTCTTGCAAAATACCTCACTGGATCTGAAAACCCAACACTCCAACATCTTATGAATGGGACTTGAGAGTAAGAAAGGCTTAGATACTGACATGCTTGGGTGGGGCTGGGGTCTAACTTGATGATAAGTTTGGATCCAGACTGGGTACACAATAAGACTGTCTCAAAACAATAAACTTTTAATATGGTCTGAACATTTTTGAATGCCTAAACGAGAATCTTCCCCTCCTTACCAAAAAGCATCCACATTCCTATGACACTTTTTACAGATAATGGTTTACCAGATTAAAAGGAGTCATGTTTTAGTGAGTTTGGGGCTTAATTAACAGAGTTTTTTTAAAAAAAAAAGTGTTCACAGCTGGGCAATGGTGGCGCACATCTTTAATCCCAGCACTTAGGTGGCAGAGGTAGGTGGATCTCTGTGAGTTCGAGGCCAGCCTGGTCTACAAAAGCTAGTTAGTCCAGAACAGGCTCCAAAGCTAGATGAAACCCTGACTGGGGAAGGAGGGGAGGCGGGAAGTGTTCACTTTACAACACTTCCTAGTCAACAGCCCTAGGCAAACCTGATTCATATCCTATGTTCATCTCTCCCTCCTTGACCAGTAAATTCCACCTGAGAGTAAAGGCTAGGGTTCTGGTACCATTCAATTTACTGCATGGCCTAACCTCCCTGGGCCCTAATTTTCCATTTATAAGATGAAGTTGTACTGATGGGTCTAAAGGCAAAGCTACGTATTTTAGACTTTCAAGAAACTACTGCTGGTATGAACATTGGTTCCACTATCTCTGCTTGATAAAATCCTGTTCATCATCTAGAAGTAAATTCTAACCCCACACCTTTCAAAAGATCTCATTACCAAAAATGACCTCTCAAACCACTACAGGAATTAGCTACTACCTGTTACTACACCATAGCACTTTACCACAGAAGCAATAGACAGGACACAACAGTATATAGGTGGTTATTATTAAGTTATGAAGTTTGGAACGCCTCCTCTCAGAACTTTTCTAATGCATAATGCAGTAGCTGAGAGCAGTATCTACAATGTCTTTCAAGAACCATCTATCTCCTTCAGTCTGAACTACTTAGTAAGCTTGGGAGAGCCTCCTGGTCATCTGGACAGAGGCAGGATTGCACAGTCTGGGGCTCTACTACATTATCAGCGCTGTACAAGTCTAGTTTTCTCATCTCTAAAACGGACCAATCGGACCTCATTTTACAAAAAACTGAGAATAGGATTTAGTTCCCTCCAGAATCAATCTCAAATTACTTAATGCAGTTTTCCAAGCCTCCCATGAACTAGCCAGTATCTCCTTCAACCAAACTTCGGTTTCTTTAAGCACTTTCTTCCTTTCATGATCATAAATGCCTTGTAACCAGTTTTCTAACTAGTTGGGAAAATTCTAATTCATTTCTGGAGTCTACTCAAAAGACAACTGTGTAGAGAGTTCCTCCTATCCTCTCCAAGGCCCTGTAAGTCAAGTAAATCACAAATTTTTTTCATAAAGTACTTTTTTTGGGGGAAGATGAGGCCTCTAGGTCCAATGTTAAGCAACATGTAACTGAGACAACTGCGAGCCCTTTTTAAATCATTGAATTTTATGTTAACTAGGATAAACCCGGAAGGGCAAAAATTAAAATAAAATAAAACGGCGAAGGGGGTTTGAAAATTTTACTGAGATCCAAGACCAGTGGGAAAAGACCCAGTCAGTTTCGAAGCCGTCCGGAATTCCCTGCTCACCTCGCCCCGCCCGTTAAAAGAAACTTAGGAACTCGCGCCCGGAAACTTTCCTCGAAGGGTGGTCACTTTTTGAAACTAAGATATCTTTTCCTCTGGTCCTCACACCCTGCCCTAAGGAATAAAGTCTCGAGCTTGGGGAAAGAGAGCGCGATTCGCCCGGAAAAGGCAGCCTACAAAGTTTCTCAGCACGGCGCTCCACTGGAACCGAGGGGAACGTGAAGGTACCGGGAGCACTCAGCGCGGCGGGAGTGAAAAGAGCACCGGGCTGCCTGCCCTAATTTTGTTTAACCGAGGAAACTAAGTGGCCATCCAAACCCTTTCAGAGAGGGCGACCCAACGTGCTTTCCCTTCCGGAACGCCGATCACGGTAGGAGGCCGGCCTCGACGCCGTCGCTCTGAGGAGAGCTGGGTGCGGCAAAGTCTGAGGATCCGGAGTCCTCGCCGGCTCCACAACTCCGGGCCGCCTAGGCCCGGCTGCTCCACATGGCGGCCGCCGACCGCTAGGCCGTAGGCCCGGCTTTCCACACCGGCGTGGGTTCGGCTTCCTGCCTCAGTCCTTAGCCCTAGGTCCGTGCTCAGTTTCTCACCTCGTCCCCGGACATGGCTGCGGTTCGAGCAGGTTGGGCACAGACGGGAAATCACACCGGTCAGCTTCAGAGCCCGGAGTGAGCGCAGCTTCTACCGATACCTCTCCCAGCACCGCGCTAGGCTCTTGCATCAGCGAAAGGAGCGACACCCCGCCCTCCTCTCAAACGTTAGAAGTGCGTCTGCGCAGAACTCACCATCGCGCAGGCGCACACCAGAGACAACCGCGCGTGCTTCTTGTGGCGCGAGTTACCAGGCGACATTCCGGCGCTGGGCATGCTGGGACTTGTAGTTTGCGTAGAAGGGAAAAAAAATCGCTTGAACTACAGCACTTCCCGAGGTCGTGAGTCACTGTTTCGGCGTCAGTCAGGAGGTTCGGTTTCTTGTGCTGCCGGTTGCCTCGCGGTTCAGAAAGCGCTGGTTTGCTGGTCGAGTGAGTCTGGGGTCATTCCTCCGGAGTTAGGTTAGTGAGACTTTAATAGGAACCCAAGGGAATGATTTCCAGCGCGCTCCTGGGGTGTTCTAGTATTCGAGGAATTCTAGGAGAGCCGGAGGCATGCACCTCATTAAAGACGTTTTACTTTGTGGAAAGCTTGAGTGGCTGACTTTTTACTTCAGAAGTGTCTTCCCTGGTTTCCCTGAGGTAGACCGAAAAACAGCCAGCAAGCGACTGTCTTGACCTGAAGCTTCGAAATACAGTCATAACTTGCTCAATGAAGGGGATATGTTGAGAAATGTGTAGAGTAGGTAATTAACTTGTTGACGAGCCTCATACCACACCAGGAAAGACACGACGGTGGTCATATGTTCTTTTCGGCGAAAACTTCCTTCTATAGTGCATGACTACTTGTTTATGAAGTCTTTGACAATTCTGGATGCATCATCCCATTTCCCTGGGGAGGTACAGCTGCCACTATCTTCAGCGCTATCCAGTCAAAGATCATGGAGAGCCGGACGGTGGTGGCATACGCCTTTTATGCCAGCACTCGGAAGGCAGGAGCAGGCAGATGTCTGTGAGTTCGAGGCTAGGCTGGTCTACAACGCGAGTTCGAGGCCAGCCAGGATTCTTACACAGAGACACCCTGTCTCAAAAACAAACAAACAAAGATCCTGGAGACTACCCTTGTAGTTACACAAATCGGGCTTGTTACCACGAAGAACAGCAAAGCATAACTATCCGAAAGAAAGCTGTTTGGACTTCTCAGGTGATTAAGGAGAGGGTTCAAGTAAGCAGACACTATCAAGAGGTGGGAATGATTATTAGGGTTGTAATGCTTCTTGCATAAGAAGAATCAAGTGAGGACTGATGAAAAAGCCCCGCATAGTACATAGAATGGGGAATAGTTATTTTTGTGGTTAGCACTAATGTTCTTTTGGTTTTATTTTTTGAATTCATTATTGTAGGAGGGAGGCCGCTGTTTGTTCCCATCACACAGAAACTGTATTATTTGCAATACTGTTTGGCCAATAGCTTAAGCGTATTTATGGCTAACTCTTATATCCTAGACTAACTCATCTCCATTAATCTGTGTATCTCCATGTGACTGTGGCTTACCAGGTAAAGTTCTGGTGTCTGTCTTCAGTGGTTCTCCTGACTCCGCTTTCTTTCTCGCAGCATTCAGTCTAGTTTTCCCTGCCTGCCTCTATTCTGCTCAAGACAGTTTCTTCATCAACCAATGGTATTCACAGCATACAGAGAGAAATCCCACATCAATTCATACGTGCTTACAGCATTTGTTTGTCTCTGTTCTTGTCTACTGAAATAACAGAGTGGTCTGTCTGAGCCGGGCGTGGTGGCATTTACCATCCTAGCACTTGAGAGATAAGGCAGAAATATCAGAATTTCATGACCAGTCTAGACTATATAAGATCTTATCTTAAAGAGAGAGAGAGAGAGAGAGAGAGAGAGAGAGAGAGAGAGAGAATAAGAAAAAGAGAAAATGATCATCTTAGTGTTTTGTTACCAATCCCTTTGCTGTGAACTATTATCCTAAAAATAAGTAAACCAAATTAAAATTATGTTCTATGGAATTATTTAGTTCATCACATCCTAGATGATAAAGTCAGGATACCTCCCCTCTATCTGGGGCTATTCTCCTCCTCATTATGATCCATAGTGCTTAATATGTTCTCTGCTTTATGTCTTACAATAACTGAGATAACCCATAAATATTAGTTACTCCCTGCTGCATATCCATTCCTAATCTAAGCACAGCCTGTTCTGACCTTGAAGGAGCCTACAATTTAATGAGGGAGATATGTTATTAGCCTCTTTTTCTAGATGAAGCATTGAAAAACATAGACACTGTTATATACAGACAACAAAAAGAGAACCCAGGACGATTTGATAATGGTGGCTGTTGTTGGAAGCTGCTTGTTGGTTCCTGGGTGCTCAACCCTGAAATAATCACACAGAACCATATTATTCAAATCACTGCTTTGCCCATTAGCTCTAGCTTCTTATTGGCTAACACTTACAATATTAATTTAGCCCATCTCCATTAATCTGTGCATTGCTACAAGATCGTGGCCTACCAGCAAAATTTCAGCGTGTCTGTCTCTGGTGGAGGTCCATGGCTTCTCCCAACTCCTCCTTCTTTCTCCCAGCATTCAGTTTGTTTTCCCCACCTAGCTCTGCTCTACCCTATCAGGCCAAGCCAGTTTCTTTACTAACCAATGGTATTCACAGCATACAGAGGGAATCCCCCATCAGGTGGCTGTTCTTTTACCTGGAGAATCTGAGTTGCTGCCACCATACCACAGTCTTCTTTAGCGGCCAGTATCTACATGTACCACAATTTCTTCCCAGCAACACTATTGGCGATTTGGACCAGACAACTCTGTTATAGGTTGATGTTCTCTGCACTGAGAATATTCAGTACCTGGTCTATATTCATGATCCTAGTAGCACACTCCTTCCAGTCATGACATTGACAAATGTCTCCTGGCCGGGGGGGGGGGGGGGCCAAAAACATCACCCCTGATTGAGAACTACTGGTATTCACATCTCTTCCTGGGCTGTAGAGCTAGAACAAATATTCCTGACTAAGTCCTCTTTACTTAGCTGGGAGTCCTAAGTAAACTGAACTAAGTTTATGAAGTCCTGTCCATTCAAAGATTAAAAACTGAAAGCAAAGGGGAAATAAAAGGAAAAGTAACCGAAATGGAGAAAGGGAATTTATAGGAAATCACCCTCTCATAATTCAGTTTATGCTAGCAAAGTTAGTTGACTCTAATAAACACGCTAAGGTAGTTGTGCTAGCGGCTAGAATCATCTGAGAGGAAGGGGCCCCAGTTGAGGAAATGCCTCTATAAGAGTGGACTGTAGTCAAGCCTGCAGAGAATTTTCTTAATTAGTGATCAATGTGGGATGGCCCAGTTCATTTTGGTTGGGGTTACTGAGTTGATGGTCCTGAGTTCTGTAAGAAAGCAGGCTGAGTAAGTCAGTAAGCAGCACTTCCCCCATGACCTCGCATCAGCTCCTGTCTCCCAGGTTCCCATCCTGTTTGAGTTCCTGCCCTGACTTCCTCAGTGGTGGACTATGATGTGGAAGTGTAAGACAAGCCCATTCCTCACCTAGTTATTAGGTCATGTTTCTTTCATCATTGCAATAGTAATCCTAAGGAAGAGAACAGTCTTCATAAGCCTTCTTATCTCTCTACTCCCTGTTTCAGAGATGTTGGCATACCTAGCAAATAGTCAATTCACCTTCTGTGAAAAAGATTTTCTTTTCAGCATGGTACCCAGTGTAACTACCCTCATCTGTCCGCTTCAAGGAAATCTTCAGAGATTTCTTGTTTTTTCCAAGTTAGTGGTTTGCTTTCCAAAAAAAGCCAGGATGATCCCCTGGTGAAGTAGCCAAAGTCATAAAGCAATGATAGCTGAGCTTTTCCAGTTTCTCTAAGAGATGGAGTCCACTTAGCCTTAACACAAATAATCATTTGTATTTTATAGCTTTTTTTCATTTATCAACCTCTATAAAACATATAAGACACTTAGTCATTTTCAATTCATACCCGTGAGGGAAATCACTATAGTTTTTCTGTTTTCTAAATAAAGAAGCCAAATTATGGACTCTACAAAAGTACTGAGAAGTCTGGAAGTAGTCTACTGGACTGTTTACTCTGGACCACTCTTTATGTCTCGCATCTCTGCAGTTCTTCAGCTGCTGAACGGTAAGTTAATGGTGATGAGCCATCAGCCCTAAACTAAAGTTTACGCTTTCAATGGCTTTGGAACAATCCTATTCTCCCCAGTTGACCAGCGTTGTACAGCTACTTTCTCCGATCTGAAACATTCCCTGGTAGAGGAATGCAGAAGCTCATAGGACTCAAGAAGTCCAGGAAAATAGAAGTCTCTGAAAGCACTACAAGGTACAAAACCGCTCCCCCAAAGGTACAAAAGCAAGGAATAATTTTGAGGAAGAGGAAGCTTGCTTTGACTCCAAGCTCCTTAGGAAGCTCCAGGGACGCAGCTTTTGTGAGTGCTCGCCCACGTTGGGGTGGGCTTCTCAGTGCCCTAGCTGCCTGAGAGTCATCGATGCTCCTGCTTCAATAAGTGTATTGGTTCAGCAACCTAGATGTGTGGGATCGTTCTGTCATTGGTGCCTATTTGGGTGGAACAGACATTGTTCATGTCTCTCCAGGAGAAGCTATGCAACACACAGAACAGCAGGTCTGTGGACAGCACACAGAACAGCAGGTCTGTGGACAGCACACAGAGACTTACAGCTGTGACAGATCTGGGGACTGAAGGCCCCCAGACCCTGAATTTTCTATGACCCCCTGGCCTGCCGGAGTAAACACCTTGTTTTCCTGTGCTTGCAGATGCTCTGGGCACGAGACCCTCATGAGTTCCTGATGGCAGGGGAGTGGGCTTGCAGCTGAAAAATCCGTAGAGCTAGGGTGTGACCATTTGTCAAGCAGAGCCCTATATAAGCTGCCCTGGAATGCAATAAAATTGGCATTCTTGTTTCAAGGATGATCTCTCTCTCTCTCTCTCTCTCTCTCTCTCTCTCTCTCTCTCTCTCTGTGTGTGTGTGTGTGTGTGTGTGTGTGTGTGTGTATGTATTTCAATCTCCAGCCCCTTACCTGAGTTGCGAACCATCCCGTGGTGCAGGCACAACAGGTGGAGGCCGCAGTGGGATCAGGAACTAGGGATCCCTGAGAGTTCACCCTCGGGAATGGTGAGGGTAAGTTGAAGATGGGTGTGTGTCTATGTGATTTTTACTATCCAGACCCTTGCCCAATAGTGGTTCTGGGTGGTACAGGTGCCACAGGAGGCACTGCTGAGATCAGGAACTAGGGCTGCTCCGAGGGACACCCTCCGGAAGTAATAAAGGAAAGACTAGAGGGTGAATTGAAGGATGAGGGCAGATTTTTTTTTAAAGTCCACTCTGGTAGTAAAGATAATAAAAATAAGCCATGGAAAGATGGAATGTACACAGAGAATCTGGATTATGAATATTATTGTGTTTTCTTTTTTGACTGGAGAGAGGTTTGATTTTGGAGACTGTTAAAAAAGGTTGATTTTAAAACATGGGTCTTAGAATGTGTTGCTTTGGAAAAGAGGTTCTGCTTTTGTTTCCACAGAAGATGAGAACCTGTAGAATCATTCCAGACTAATATGGTTTGATGGACAAAGACCTCCCTCCCGAAAGGTCACTGTGAACACCCCGAAAAATACTTTGCTCAACTAACAGCAGGAAGCAGTTTGGAAAGAACTATGTCCAAATTCCCTAAATGATTGTTTGCTGAAGGTTGTGGGGTTCAGGGAGCAGCTTGGGGAAGCTGTTGGGACACTGGAGGATGTCCGGGATGGATCCAGATGCCGGGGGTGGGGGGAAGCCCTATTTGGATTCCTGAGTGGCTTGTGCATCCTATGGACTTTTCTGACCATCAGCCACAGCCAACAGCTATTGGGTGAACGAGACTGCCACTGTGGTCTGTGTTCCAGGCTTTGTATCTATCCCAGTGTATCAGCTAGTGCTGAGCCGTCCCTTCTGAGACTTTGGGATCACTGCGGATGTAGTGGCCATTATCATCACCACTGTGGCCTCCATGGCAGCTGGAATTGCCATCAGCCAGACGGCTGCTGTGGCTATCTTGTACAGTGACTATATCATTCATGTGGAAATGAGCGTGTTCACTAGGGCATTTTTCAATTTACTGCTATCATATTTGTGCTATGCCCATGCTAATCCAGAACCTTTTCTATATAGAAAAGGGGAGCTGTTGGGGACTGCAGACCCTCAGACCCCGAATTTTCTGTGACCCCCCGCCTTGCCTGCCGGAGTGAACAACTAGTTTTCCTGTGCTTTCATCTGCTCTGGGCACGAGACCCTCATGAGTTCCTGATGGCAGGGGAGTGGTTTCTGGTGGGCTTGCAGCTGAAAAGTCCCTAGAGCTAGGTCATGGCCATTAGTCAAGTGGCATTCTTGTTTCAAGGATGACCCCCCCCCCTGTCTCTCTTTCTTTCTTTCTCTCTCTCTCTCTCTCTCTCTCTGTGTGTGTGTGTGTGTGTATGTTTCACTCTCCAGCCTCTTGCCCCACTTGTGAACCATCCCATGGTGCAGGTGCAACATGACAGTATTTGAATTAAAACCAAGATTGACAAGATAGCTTAGAGAGTAAAGAAGCTTGCTGGGTGTGGTCTTTGTATAAGAATGGCCCCAGCAGAGCAGTGGTGGTGCACGCCTTTAATCTCAGTACTTGTGAGTCTGAGGCTGGCCTGGTGTATAGAGTGAGTTTTAGAACAGCTAGGACTACACAGAAACCTTGTGTGTGTGTGTGTGTGTGTGTGTGTGTGTGTGTGAGAGAGAGAGAGAGAGAGAGAGAGAGAGAGAGAGAGAAACAAAATAGCAAAAAAGAATGGCCTCCATAGGCTCATATATTTGAATTCTTAATCATCAGGGAGTGGAATTGTTAGAAAGGATTATAAGGATTAGGAGATGTAATCTCCTTGTTGGAATAGGTATGGCTTTTGGAGGAAATGTCTCACTGGGGGTGAGTTTGGGGTTTCCAAAGTCCATGCCAGATCCAGTCTTAGTCTCAGTCTCTCTCTCTGCCTATGGCTCAGTCTGTAGCTCTCAGCTATGGTTCCAGTGCTGTCTGCATATTGTCATGATACCCACCAATATGATAATGGACTAAAACCTTTGCAATTGTAAGCAAGCCCCTAATTAAATGCTCTCTCTTATAAAAGTTGCCTTGGTCATGGTGTCTCCTCACAACAATAGAACAGTGCCTAAGTCACTGACAAACTAATCCCCTGAGTTCCGTTCTGAAACTGACTCCTGAGATTTGTCCTCTGACAATAAGTGCACTATGGCACATGTGTGTAATAATAATAATAATAATAACTTAAAATATGGATTTTAGTCTATCTTTTTGCTCAGTAAGTAGAAAGTTAAATATCACCCACACATCTTAGAAATTAGCTGGGCATGGTGGTACATGGTGGTACAGTCTTTGATCCCAGCACTCAGGAGGCAGAGGGAGGTAGATCTCTGTGGATTTGAGGCCAGGCTGGTCTACAGAGTGAGTTCCAGGATAGTCAGAGATACACAGAGAAATCCTGTCTCGAAAAACCAATATATATATTTCCATATATATATATGGAAAATGTAAGGTAGTGATTCTACCCCATGCAGAAATCTAGACCTATTTACCCCATTTTACCTGTGAGTACTTCATTGTATGGAGCCTTCAAAAGTTAATGTTGGTGAGGAAAGGCACTGAAACATTAATGGAAAACATTTTATAATGCCAAGATTAAATTTATCTTTAGGTTGATCTAGACAGAAGATAAAGTGAGGCTCCTCACAAGCAGTCTTGGGTAGGATTTCTCTGTGTAAGCTGAATGATCTTGCTCTGTAGACCAGGCTAGCTTTGAACTCACTAACGTCTGCTTCTGGAGTGCTAGGATTAAAGACATGTACCACCATGTGTGGCAGGAATGGATCTATTTATTTATCTTTATTTTATGTGCATTGGTTTGAAGGTGTCAGATCCCCTGGAACTGGATCTTTAGACAATTGTGAGCTGCCATGTGGGTGCTGAGAATTGAACCCGGGTCCTCTGGAAGAGCAGTCAGTGCTCTTAACCACTGAGCCATTTCTCCAGCCTGAGAAGGAATTCTTGGTGCTTACTTTGTTTTCTTCGTTTATTGGTGCAGGGTTTTACTAGGTATTCTAAGATAACCTCAAACTTATGATCCTTCAACCTTCACCTGAATTATTTTTACATTTATTCACTTACTCAGTGTATGAGTCTGAGTGCATGCCATACATATCATGTGTGCAGAGGTCAAAGGAAACTTATTTCCAAGGAGGGGATAAAAATCCTTCCTTCTGCCAGGTGGTGGTGACGCCTGCCTTTAGTCCCAGCACTCGGGAGGCAGAGGGCCAGCCTGATCTACACAGCAAGTTTTAGGAAAGCTCCAAAGCTACACAGAAAAACCCTGTCTTAAAAAAAAATCCTTTCTTCTATTACTTTATCACAACTCTTATTATATGATAATATTTTTGAGGTCGTGGAGGATAGGATCTGCGTATTACTCGTTTTTCTTTGTTTTCCCAAAGTCTAGCACATATATATGAATGAAAAGCTCTAAGAGGTGATAGATATGAGGACTCATAGCTAAATCACCTGCATCTTAGATTCTTGAACACAGCCTAATTTCTAAGACACAGTAGGGAACTTCCAGCTGTGTTCTATTTGGAATGATTAAGTACAAATGTAGCAAGAAGAAAATGTGTTTCATATTCTCCCTTCATGACTCACTGTAAAAGGGGATGATAGCATGCTCAGCAGATCAGAGGGCTCTGGAAGGAGGGGTTCAATATACCTTGTATACACTCAGCACCTTAGATTTTCACTATTCATAACACATATGTCTCTCTTGCTTTTGAGAGGCAACCCCCATACTCTACACACTGCCCAGTATGAATTAGAAGTTCAGTAAGTGGACCTGAAATAATGTACAAATTAATAAATCAAATGAAGAATTTCACTGTCTCTCTCATCTTAGATCATTTAAGCCACGCCCTCTCAAAATGGCTTTAGGCACTAGTTCTTTTGTACAGCATTTTCCTAATCAAGCCAGCCTACCACAATTTTGCCATTTTCTGTTATGATCTATCAATATTATTGGATAAGCATTTTAATACTTTTGCTAATTATTTAAAAAGAAGATCTCTCTGGCTCTGGCTAGTCTAGAACTCACTATGTAGAGCAGGCTAGCCTTGAACTCATGGGTTCCACCTCTCAAGTGCTGGAATTATAGGCATTTATCAACACATAACCAGTGCATGATTTTTGAGACCACATCTGTCTCTTCTTTATAGCAAGGTTAGAAAGTTTTTTTTTCTTCTTTAGTTTTTTGAGATAGAGTTTCATGTTGCCGAAGCTAGCTCCAGACTTAATATACAGTGAAGAATGATCTTCCTGTTTGTTCTGCCTCTCGAGTGCTCACAACTAGCTCTAAAATACTTGAGTATAACGGATAAATGTTAAAAGATTGCACCCTAAAGTGCCTTAAATCTAGACGGCTTGTAATATTATAAACAGTGGATGACCGGGAGGTGGCACATGTCCTTAATCCCAGCATTGGGAGACAGAGGCAGGCAGATATCTGTGAGTTCAAGACCAGCCTGATCTACAGAGTGAGTTCCAGGACAGCTCGGACGACACAGAGAAACCCTGTCTCTAAAAACCAAACCAAACCAAAACAAAAGATTAAAAAGAAAAAAATAGTTGGTGGTATCCAGGATACTTAATGTTTTGCTATTTTAGCAAATAGTTGTTATAAATAATAAATAAACCACAGTGAGCTTGTGCCTTACACTTGTTAGAATGGCCACCATGAAAATGAAACCAAAGACTCAGCCTGAAAGTGACAAGTACCAGCAAGAATATAGAGAAACAGGAAGCTTTGTGCACTGTTGTGGAAAGCCAAATGCTGTATCCACTGTGGAAAATAGTAAGGCTACTCCTCAAAAAAAGTTTAAATAAAAGTACCACATGGTTCAGCAGTTCTGCTTGTGGGTATGTATCCAAGAGAACCAAAAGCAGGGTCTACCCCTACATTCAGCACTATTTACAGTAGTCAAAAGGATGAAACAATCTAGCTGTCCATCACCAGGCAAATAGACAAGCAGAACTGTGGTATGTGCATACAGTGGTCTATTGC